TTACCGACACCTTGCTGGGTACACAGCACAGTACCATGGGGGCTGCCGTGGGGAAAATTAACTTCATCTCGGCCAGACACAATACAACAGGACCGAATTAACTCCATCTCAGCCAGACACAATACAACAGGACGGTGAAATGTCCAGGGAACAAGCACCTACAACTACAAGTTTTGTGTAAAGAAGAGACGCTGACTGCAGTATTACTTGCCTCTAATCCCAAAGCAACTTTCAAAGGATAAAACTGAGAGTTGGAAACCATGAGGTCAGATGTCCCTCCAGGAACAGGCCTATCCCATTGCTGTGGGACAGGAGGCTCCACACCAGCCCTGGAGGGATCCCAGTATGCTTCTTGGAGACAAGTACCTGAGCATCATTTAGACACAGCGGTGGAGCTGATCAGAACCTGCCTAGACAACAAGCCTGTGGACAGTGAGAGCTGCCCGAATGGGATTTTCCTTAAACTCAAGTAGTCTTGCCTGTAGAGTTATTCTATTTTTGTTCTTTATGGAGATCACTGTTGCAGGAATCTGCTCCAGGTGCTTCCTCTTCCCTCTCCCCAGCTGGGTCAGGCAGGACAAACCCATACCCCACACTTGGACTAGAAGCCACTTTAAGCCGGGGTCAGTCCTAGGACAGCTTCAGCTTTTGCAGACAACACTTTGAAGTTAGAGAGGGAAACAAAAAGGTACTTCTGTGTTTCATGTAAAGGCAAAGAATAAGTAACCAGCTACAATAGAGGCTGTATCCTTAGGAGCATTTTAAAAATCCAATAAACCAAAAAACCCCATCTGTGAATAGCTGCTTTGATCTAAAGACTCCTTAAAGTATTTGAAGTACCATGAAGCTCTTCAGACGACAGCTGTGGGCTTTGCCTAACCTGAGCAGCCCTGCACGTTTCCCCATCGCTCTCCCCTTTGCCATTCCTTTTCAAAAGTTGCTAAAGTTTTGCTAGAGGCTTGTTTTCACTTCCAGGAAAGAAAGAAAAAAAAAGCACAGCAGTGAGCCTTTGCACAGCTACTTACGACATCTGCAAGTCCCATGCGGGAGGCTGTGAACCATTGCCCCCAGGGGAAGAGAAAGTTTTGAAGAACCACAGATATACAGCCAAAACCAGGTCATAGGCAGGAGGAGGAAAGCTGTACCAGTCAGCACAGCTGTAGCAAAGGAGAGGTAGCTCTCCACGTACAATCTCTGGTCAGCTGCAGGATAAGGACAGTTCTGCTAAGATGCTCCTCAGAGGCACTTGCTGGGCTGGAAAAGCAGGCGCCACTTGCACCAGGCTGCAGCAGCAATTTGCATTTATCTCCATCGATCCATGCCCAGAAGGTCAGGCTGCTCCTGCCCCCAGCCTGGGGAGGCCGGGCTCAGAGGGAAGCAGAAGCAGCGCAGAAGGTGGCTGTGACTAAGGAGGAGACGTTACAGGTGCTTCTCATGGCTGGCTGTGGTCTGCTGCAGGAGTGCCAGTGCGGACGTGCAGGCAACTCTGCAGCTCCTCCAGCAGCACGGGCAGAGCACAGCGGCCAAGGAGCTGTCAGCACCCAGGACATCTACATCTACCCAGGAGGCTGCATCTTTCCCACCCCCAGGCAGACTCCTACTTTTACAGGATCCAGACCCACCATCACCCAGTCCGGACCAGCAGCCTTCTTCTGCCCATGAGCACTTCTGCCTCCTCAACAGAGTTAACGTCAGTACAGCAAGGCTGATTCAGAGGAGTATTTTATTGTCATCCCCACGCTGAGGGGGTCGGAGCAGTCTGAAAGACCAGACACCAGAGCTGGGCAGAGGACCTTGAACGCGCACTGCCAACCCCGCACACAGCCATGGGGAGGGAACAGACGTGAAGGAGCTCCTACATCAGAGCAAAGATACGTGGTAGTGCCCTTCCTAGGACGGCAAGGAGACAACTGCCTCCGTCAGCAGCTGAGAGTGGAGGCAGGTATCAAGGTCCAACAACCAAACTCATGCAGAGTGCTTACTGGGGCGCATGACCAGCTTGGACAGACCTAAGTTACCTATGCCAGCCCCTCTCGTAGGGCAGCTGGAGCAGTCCAAGGCATGTCCCTCTGGGGAACAGTCACAGGGACCCCCATCCATGGGACCCACAGCCCCTGGCTCCCTCGGAGCACCACAAGGGCCAGAGGCAGCAGGACCAGGACAGGCCATGGCAGAACGCACGCAGCTTTGTCGGTCTCAGGAGTCACGTTCTCCATCCAAGCAGGGGAAGATCTCTTTTTCCAAGCGTAGTACTTCGCCACAACCACATTGGGGTTTCCCTGGGCAGGGTCAAACCACATCTGGATGCAGCGTCCGCTGCCCCGGTGCTCTGTGGTGTATTTGTAGGAGTTAGACCAGATTTTCTCACACAGGTCTTTTGGTCGGGGGAAGACATGGCTGAAGGGTCTGCACATGGAGCCCCAAGGACAGCGGTTCGTTCCTGAAGACAGACAGCACCACAAAAGAAAACAACAAGATGAGCTAAGACACGAGTGAAGCGTGCTTTCACCCGGGAGGAGCAGGCCACCTTCCTGCAGCCCATCGCTGCATCTGAGCTTATGGATGGTGGCTTGGCCACCTTTTGGTTGGCAACCCCAGACAGATGGGAGCAGTTAGGGGTCTTGGGTCCCACCACCAGGCAGGCAGCAGTGACACTGCCAGGACCTTGCCTGCAGGGGCGAGGAGAGGCTTGCTCCACACAGCCCACCAACCTGTTGCCCAGTTCCAGCCCTTGTGCCAGTTCTCTTTGCACGTGACATAGTCCTTGCAATCCTCCCACCACTCCTCGCAGTCCTCTTTGCAGAGCGGCACGTGAAGAATCCTCTCCCGACGCCAGCTGCTGTCAGCCTGCAAGGGAACAGGACCATGCACACTGGTGGTGGCCAGTTAAGGTGCAGGGTCTGCCACAACCCAGACTCCCCCCGGCCCCTTCCATTGGGCTCCAGAACTGATCTCAGAAGAGTTTCAGACCCAGCAAAGACATGCCTTGACAAGCAATTCTTCCACCAGCTTGTCTGCTAGTCTCTGCTTAGGTAGTCAAAATTCTCTGAATCTTTCCACGCAGGTGGAAAGCTTGCGGTGTCCCTGGAAAGCATACTCCCGTACATATAGCAGGGGTATACTGTATGGGGGACCAGCATATAACGTATCATGTGGTCTTAATCACAGCAGATCTGATCCTACCTGGTCAATCCAGGGCCCTAGGTTGGGTGAGCACTCATACAAGCACGTGTCCTGGATGAAGTGGCGCTTGCACTTGGGTGGCATCAGCCCACAATGGTTCCAGTTGAAGTTGTACAGGTTGGATTGGTCCTTGTGGGCTTCTGAACTGGTGTTGGCCGTGCAGCAGGCGTTGTCCTTCCAGGGAGCACACTACAACAGAGCAAGAGACAGGCTGGTCAGGGAGGGCGGGCAGCAGCTTGAGGGAGTCAGAGAGTGCTGCAGGTGCCAGCTCCCTGCGCGGTCTACAGCAAAAACCTTCAGCAGCAAGAGGATTTTCTGTCCTCCAGCAAAACTTTGGGCACGTTGGACTGAAGGGTTCAGGGCTGCAGCAAGGTGGAACAGGAAGAGCAGGAGGAAGATCCTCACCAGGAATTAGCGCCAGCCTGAGAATAGAAATAAGCTCTTTCTCCTGCACCCTGGCTTGCTCTTAGCCCTGTCTCCACCAAGGACCTGGGGGCAGAGCTCTTCAATTAGCAAGAAGTCTCACACAGACAAGGAGCTTTCCTTGCCATCCTTTACCTTGTTCTGATTTGGGGTACCTAAGCTTTGGGATGGGGATGCCTCCTGGTCCAAGAGGGGTGACACTGAGCAGACAGAAATCCTCACACCGCTGCATCTGCCCTAACCGTGTGCTAGAAGAAAAGGGCAAAACAAGCTGGCTGCATACCCAGCATGGGCTTTCTTCCTCAGGCAAGTGGTTGCCAAGCCCAAAGCACAAACTAGCCTGTATCATCTGGGGAGGGAGGTACAGGGGACCCCAACAATCCCCCCTAACACATCAGCAAAGTCATACCTGGTCATGCAGCATCCCCTCCGGGCCAGGCTTGGTTTTGTGGTGTTTGGCATCCATGCAGATGTTCAGCAACGGGTCCTTCGCAGGCATCACTGCGCAGGCGGCCGACAGCACAAGCAGCACCTGCCCCACTCCCATCCCTGCAGCCTGGTCGGTTCTGGGAGGTGATGGACCTGCACAGAAAGGGGACAGCATGGGAAGGGTTTTGCCACAAGCAGCAGTAAACGAGGTGTGTGGGGTCCTGAGGACACACCAGCAGACCATCAGCAACTCGCACACAGGTGCAGCCCCCAAGCAAAGCTGCAAAGTGTTATTTCCAGACAAACAAGCTATGTGTTATTTCCAGACAAACGGCCCTTTTAGCGCTTGGGCTGTTCAACAGTTAACCTCAAACATCCCTTATCAGAAAGGGGATGCTGTGTGAGACCCATTCAAATTTGGGTCCTTTCGCATTAAGTCGCCCCACTGTTTCAGTGTGGAGCTTTCAGATACCAAAACTTCTGCAACTAGATGTTGCTAGCTAAGGGATCTCTTAGGTAGCAGTTCGGAGCAGGTAGGTAAGTGCATTAACACACTGATATCTTGCATGGACCTCAAGCTGCAGGAGGCCTGCCTTGTTTTCAGGAGTATGTTACAAGAGGAAGGCATTTTCTTTGCTTTATCTGCATCCAGGCTTTTGGACACCACATTTGAGGTCTCCAAAGAAGACTTGACTCAAGCAATTAAAGACACTTCATATAACTATGCCTTAGCCCCCTCTGCCCACCTAGAGGCTGATAGGGCTTTTACAGTAGCTTACTAAAAACCAAACCAAACCAAAAACCCCACAACCCAAACAAAGAAACCTCAAGACCCCCCCAAACCAACCAAACACACCACAGTACTCCTCACATGCCTTGTCAATACAGCATGAGAGTCTAAAACAGTCACCTTTTAAGAAGCATTTAGCAAAACACAGGAGCAAGACAAGCCATTTACAGTGTTAAAATAGCATGAACCAACACAGAAGATAGCAAATACAGAACTAAGGAAGCAGACGCATTAACCTGAGAACTAGGAAGCAGCTAACTTGTATCATAACTATAAATAACCAATAAAAAAAAACCCCAAAGAAACCAGAAACCAACCTTACCAGTCCAGGTAGCCTCTAAACCTTCTGCAACACCTTAAAAACACTCAACACAGCAGCTTCCCGGGGTCGGCTTCAATAGGACAGCCCTCTGACACAGGTGCTGGCACTTGTAAGTGCCTTCCTAGTATGTTCGACAGGGTTTAACTTCTGCCAGCATTTGTTACCTTAGAGGCAGTTGTTTTGGTGACAAGCAGCTTGTCCAGCCTCTTTCACACGCAACACCCTCTTCCTGGGAAACGATCTAGCGGGATTTTTTTGGAAGGGAGGTCACTTATCGGCCTTGGTCATTCATAACAATCCCTTTTTCCTCTACTCACCTTACACCAGACAGTTTTGATTTGCACCATTGCGTGAGATAAAAAAAAGCCAAGGAGGGATGGATCCAGGATTCTGCCACGCACCCAGAATAAATACAAAAGGGCTAATGCTCATTGCAAAATTGACATGCAGGAACGAATGCTATTGTCTCACAAGGAAGAATTATAACTCCCAACACAAAAAATAAATGCTAGATGATGAGGGGAAACAGTGCACCTTGTTGCAAAAACCTGAGAACAATAATTGAAGCTAAAAGCTGGGGTTTGCTCACAAGACCCCTCGGAAAGCCCGCACCATTGGCAACAGGGCAGAGTCTTCCTACTGGAACAGCACAGGTTTTGGGGCTATTTTACTCTTTTCTTCAATCACATCACTGGTGTTTTGGTGATGAACCCACTAGCCTAAGGACCTCATCTTCCTAAATTTAATGCATGAAGACTTCAGGCTCTAGGAGACCCTGCTTCAGCGATGTCCACAGCCTAATGACACGCTGCATGGATAATGACCTCTGTATGTCCCTTCTGAACCAGAAGCGTGATGTTTTAATTTCTTGTGCTTCTGGCTCTCGTATTGGAAGTGACAATGAGCAGATCTTTCCCCACTTTCCCCCCTCTGTCACATCTCCCCTCTGTTGCCTCTTTCCAACCGAAGCCACGTCTGCTCACTCATTTCCCATGACAAGTGTTTTGCTCCCCGAGGCACTAGGACTGCAGCAGTATTTCAGATGCACAACGCTGTCCTGGACTTGTTTTCTGGTCCTTGCCTAGGAATTTCTGATATCTACTTTGTTTTTGGAACTGCTGATCACTGAACTGTGTTGTCGTAACACTATCATAACTGTGACAGCTTGTTCCTGAGAGATAATTGTTAGCCACCAGCCTGTCATTTTCTATCATCTGAAGTGTTCTGTTTTTTCCCAAGTGCATCACTATGTTTATCTCAACTTTTTTTTTTTTTTTAATCCGTTGTTTTATTGTTCAGTGACTCAGTCTTACCAGGGTCTTCTGCAGATTTTCACAGCTGGTACTCCTGTTCCTGGAGTAATTTAATATCATCAGAAATTTGGTTGTCTTGCTGTTTTCCTCTCCCTTTCCCAGAAAAAAATTGTTGAAAAGCAGAAATCTCGGTACTGATTCCTGTAGAGCTTCGCTTTGGTAAAGGATAGCCACGAACCTTTTTTTTTATGATTCAATTATACACTCGTGTGTGGGACCTTACTCTCATTTCATGGCTGCTTATTTGATGACCTTCAGTGGAGACCTTGCTCAGAGCCATTGGGAATCCAAGTAGACTCCATCACCTGGATCTGCCCCAGCCAGAATCCCTTCCAGCCCTTGGAGGACTCCCAAGATGCTGGGGAGTCTTGTCTGCATGTTAGAAGAGCCGTACTGACACCTTGCCCATATGGCGTACTTATCCATGTCCCTATTGATTCAATCCTTTATTAAATTTTCTGCAATACAGGTAAATTCTTCCCACACAGGTACCATGTCCATGGCTTTGCAGATCCCTCCATCTCTCCAGGAAGCCTTTTAACGTGTCCCACGGGAACGTGTCCTTGCAGAGGGTACTTGTACACGTGACAGTGCAGAAAACGGGGAAACTCTCTCCTCTCACTGTAGCCCTGCCCGTACCCTCGTACCTAATGGGATGGGCGGGTGGCTGGGTGCATCCACATTTGCTCAATCCAGCTGATTTGCCTTGTGCAACCTCTCTCCAGGGTCTGGGATGGAGTTGCTTTGGATGCTTCTTCCCTGGGGTCAGATTTGGGTGAGCAGCTGCTGGGTAACTGCTTTAGGGTGTGCTGAGTGCCTCTGGGCACCCCAGGGTCTGCATTAGCCAGGAGCTCAATGCACTTGCCTACGTGTTGTCGCTTAGTGCCACTGGAGATCACAGATCTCATCGGAGATGCCTGGTGGTGTCCCACGTGGCTTCCCACTGCCACTGCTACAAAGCGTGTTGTTATGATCAGACTCTCATTTACAGGCAAAAAGCAAATTCACTTTGTGTATAAGGCCAAGAATTAATTGTTAGTGTAATTGAAAACAGGCTAATAGAAGAATTGTTGCTAGTCCAGATCCAGTTTTTACAGAAAAAAGGAATTAATATTTCTCTACAGAAAAATAAGTAGTAGGAGTAGTAACAACAACAACAAGAACAATAATAACGATAATAAAGATTGTTATACACACACTTCCCAATTTCTACCTCTTCCTGGGTCCTACCTCACCCTTTCACTGCTCCTCTGGGTCCTAAGGTTGGTGACTTCAGTTTGGTGGTGGATGTTACATCAAGTCATCCAAATCTGGAGTCCTTCGTGGGGAATAGGATATTGATGTTCATGGCTTCTTCTTTCTCACTCTAGGGTCCGCTTTGTGGTTTTTTATGTTTGATAATGTGCTTTTACACCTTGCTTTCTCTTCATTGGTCTGCAAGTCCATCACACATGCAGATTTCCTAAATATGATGCATTTCATGCATGATAGATACTTGCTCTTTGTTCTTTTTGTCACCACAAAAACAATTTTTGTCCAGCTCTGAGCTTGCTTTCCTTTAACTGACCATTCCTGAGATGTTTATAGCCGTGAGGTCTCCGGTACCAGCCTGTGCCCCATCCCTTATCACCTCATGCCTGCACTCCTCCATGCCGCATCCTCTGTCCTCACTTCTCAAGGCCCCTGCCATCCTGCCAGACCCGGATTTCTCAGCACTTCACAATTCTGTGGAAGTCATAAATATCTCATTCAGCACAGAGTAGTTACTTTTTACGGCTATCTGCATAAAACTGAAACTCTGGTTGCACCATACAACTGTAAGCAAAAAAGCCATAGCCATAGTCAGAATAACAATTGCCATTACTGTTAAATCTGGTAAAAACAAAGCTCCAGGCAGACCAGGACAAGTTCAGAGAGAGCAAACCCGGCACTCCTCCGTCCCAAGACCTTGCAAACTTATTACAAAACCTGTGGCCTGTAACCAGTGGTGGCCATGCCGTGGTGCTGGGCTACAGGGTCAGTGTGCAGGACCAGTGTCACAGCTGCCCGGCCAGGCGGATGCTGAGGACATCCCGAATGGGACTCAGCGCCGAGTTGGGGGGCGAGCAAGCTGAGCCCTGGATCGCCACCGACTGACTGCTGGGGGCTGGGACGCCCCGTGCGGATGGGGACCCTTGCAGAGGGACGCCCACCACCAGCACAAGGAGATGCCTGTGCAGAGGAACCTGTGTTTGAGCATCTCACGCTGGAGCTGGATCTCAGTCCTGGAGTCCTTCAGGAGTGAATCAGCGTTTGGCTACAAGAAGAGCAGAGATAACTCCAGGGTCCCTGAGAGAACATCTAAAGTTTTCTTCCTTTCCCTGAAAAAATTGGTTAAAATGCAGGGGAGGTTTTGATGCACATAAAAGGGAAGGGATAAAAAAGTGATATCTTTTACACTGGACAAATATTGTTGCCTCAGACTTTTCATTTCAAATACTTGATTGTTCCATCCATCAAAATTTTTGTTGTCTAAAAAATGTGGGATTTTGAAGGTGGTTGTTAAAACTGAAATTGGAGATGACATGACACAACTCTTGGATCACTCTGGTCTTGTAACAGGGAATAAGGAGTTTTCTGGGCCCCCGCACACTGAACTGCTCAGGTCAGTGGACGTTTCTAGCATTGCTTGTGGAGCAAAAGCAATACAGGTCTGTCTAGGTGGATAGCTCAGAGGATAAAAGGAGTTATCTTTGCTGTTCAAAGGGATGCTGGGCACTCAGGTACCTCGGGGTGAAGAGGTGATGTGGAGAGGCAGCAGATACAGGTAGACTGCAAAACCTGATTTGTTCTGCTGCTGCTCTGCGACAAAAAATCCAATTATTTATTTTACTAGGTAACACACTCACACGTTCTGCTTGCTGGAAGGTTAGGAGGAGAAACTGCCTCTTTTTTGATGAAGTACTTTAATATCTCTGGATGAAGAGGCTATACATATAGAAGGAAGTTACATGTGAGCCAAGAAAGAAGAGAAAACTGAGAATAGAAAGCAAGGAAGGAGTAAAAAAAAAAAAAAAAAAAAAAAGATAGTGGGAGATATGAGAATGAAGACAGAGCCACAGAGTGATCTTTCTTAAATATTAAAGTTCCCACCTGACAATGAAATGATTCAAAACCTTGGGGACTTCCCACGGAGGCTACAGACGTTGTCTCAGACCCATGGTCAGGGCGGAATCTCCTTGGGACCCATGAAACAAGGTTGAAACTGGCCTCTGGGCTGGGAAAATAAACCCACGTGTACACAGGAGTGCTGGGGAAATGCAGGGGGAAGGCAGCTCAGGAGAAAAGCTGCAGAAAACCACTAAGTTCATCTAACTGCTAAATTCTGCATTTTGACTCATCTCTTGATGATGTTATCTGGATGGGCACTAGTGACAGGGGGTTCGTTCCTGTATCTTGGCCCAGTGCTTGCTCAGTGCATCACACAAACCAACCCCGGAGCAAACGTCCTCGCCGCGCAGGAATATGTTGTAACGCTGAAGTGAGATTAAATTGGACAAGTGAGATTTTAGTCCCACCAGATCATCCCTGACCACCAGCAGTGAAGTATACAACTCCTCATTTTGTCGCTGTGTGCAACTCTACTCTTACACTGCTCTCAGCTCTGCTGCATTTCCTCCGCTCAGAGGCAGGTTTTGCCCCCAAAACCTCATGTTCCATCGACATTCGAGCCGTGGCCAAATGGAGCGCTGCCCCAGCGGGCACACGTGGGTGGCAGACCAAGGCCATCGCTCCTTGCTTTGTGTCCTCTCTGAGAGGGTTGTCTGCGGTATCCTGTTGCAACGGTTCTGCTTCCTCCTTGCAGAAGAGCCATCGAATCGCAGATGTCCCCAGGGAAGGTTGCTCGGGTCTGAATAGGGAGGGTATGTGACTTTGGACAATTTTTGCAGTCCGTTCCCCTCATAGCGTCCCAACTTCCACCATTGTTTTACTAGTGATAATAGAGGTCACGTCCCTGACTGCTCACTAGGAGACATGTTTATGGGCCCATCACTTAATTTGTATAATCACATTTTAAACTCCCTGATGCTGTCCTCCTTCATAACTGATTGTGAAACAAGTTCCAGAAAACTTCTCTGAAAAAGAAGTATATTTCTCTGTGTCAAACTCTTTTCCTACTAGTTCCAAGTTGTTTTGGTATTGGTGACTGCTGTGCATTCAGCCCAATATTTCATAGTCTCATAGATCTTCTACCAGGGCCAGACTGGCAGCAGTCTTCCACTGCCACGTCTGCAGAAAAAGTGGCGTTTTGCCAGACAAACTGCCAAGGTAATATCAGTGCAAAGCTACTTTATGCATTATTACACATTATTGCAATTATTAGACTATGTGAGCATGGAGATAGATGAAAACTTCTTGGACACCCTTCCACAGGAGCAGCAATGTGTGTTTATGTCATCTCCACCATCAGCGCTGCCCTGCGGGTCAGCATGCAGGGTGAGGGGGGCATTCTTGGTGCCGATGGTCCCTCGGGTCTCGGCTGATGGAGTCGTCGTTGCCTTGAACAGCTAGTGGAAAAATGGGTGGTTTTGATCGAGAAAGGGAAGCGTATGGTCAGAAAGAAGCTGGTGCTAGTGTCCAACCACAGGAAAAATACACCTGCAGTTGGCCAAAGTATTTGAAGCGTTCTCCTGGTACCCACTCTGCTCTGACCGGGTGTGAGAGTTAGCATGCTATTTTCACCTGCTGTTATGGTCTTTTTCTATTTGGAAGTTCATAACTGAGGGAATGGGGAAGGAGGGAACCAGCTGAAGGCAGAAGTGCCTGCCCCTGCCACGCCATGTGCCCAGGATCTTTGGTAAGCGAGCCGGAGCACGGGACGTCCCAGTGACCTGTGCCGCTTTTGAGATGAAGGAACCCGAAGTGCACGAGGTCTGAGTGAACGTCAGGTTCATGCCGCACAATAAGGACTGTTCCCTGTTGTTGATTCCAGTCCTAAGCTCTATTAGCATTCAGTTTGGGTCTTTTCTGTTAAATCCTTCTGAGCACTAACCGTGGAGCTGCTGAGCAGGGAGCGAAACGAAAGGTTTGATTCGCAAACCCTGGCCCTGCTTTGCAGTCTCCTGTTGTGCTTCGCAGTGTTTCATGGGCACCGAGAGATCAAGCTCAGACTTTAACACAGGTAAGACACCCAGGGCTGGAGCCTTCTGTTAGTGCATTGGTAACAGGCACCCAATAATGCAAAATCACAACTAAAAATGTGCTCCCGGTTTTAATTGAGCTACCAAACCCTTCTGCCTTCAGCAACTAAAAAATTCTGATATCTCCTCTGCTACCTCAAAGCGTGCTCTGTTTTCAGAAACCTGCTTCCCAACCACCACGGCAAATCCTCTCTTAAGTCAGTTTTGCCTGCTCAGCATAAAATCAGAACCTGGTGTCTAGTATGAATTATTCAGATTTATATTGCTATGACTCGTTACGCTTTACTGCTTTTTAAAAGATATTCAGATTAGAAGTCCTGCGCACCTGCCAGGTACTTAGGACATTCTCCGTGGATAAAATGAACATGCAGAATTTCTGTGGTGTCTCAGCATGGATGCGCTATATATTTATAAAAGTAATACAGCTCTCCTGTCAGCCGTTTCTCCAAGAGTCTGTTGTAACGCATGGGCAATCACTGTAAAGACTTGGAGGATCTTCCCTGGCTGTGTTTGGGCAGGTGAGGGTTGTGTGATGTAGTGGCACCTGGAGATGTGGTTCCTCAGCTCCATGAAACCAAGGCATCGGAGGTGTGTTGTGTGGGAAGAGGGAGGAGAGTGGAGCCACAGCCGGCGTGAAACCGCATCTCCTCTGGCATCGGGACTGGGAGCAGCTGGGGCAGAGTCTAGACAACTCGGCAGCACTGCCAAATTCATCACGTAAAGAGAGGCTCCTACTTATTTCTGGAGTAAGAAAACGTATCAATGGTGCAGGGGTCTCTCAACTGCATAAAGCAGAAGCCCTGAAATGCCACAGGTGCCACCAGCATCCTGGCTTGGATCAGGAACAGTGTGGCCAGCAGGAGTAGGGAAGTGATCGTCCCCCTGTACTGGGCCCTGGTGAGGCCGCACCTCGAGTGCTGTGTTCTGTTTTGGGCCCCTCACTCCAAGAAGGACACTGAGGTGCTGGAGCGTGTCCAGAGAAGGGCAACGGAGTGGGGAAGGGTCTGAAGCACAAGTCTGATGAGGAGCGGCTGAGGGAACTGGGGGTGTTTTGCCTGGAGAAGAGGAGGCTGAGGGGAGACCTGATTGCTCTCTACAGCTCCCTGAAAGGAGGCTGTAGCCGAGTGGGTGTTGGTCTTTCTCCCAAGTAACTAGCCAAAGGACAAGAGGAAATGATCTCCAGTTGTGCCAGGGGAGGTTTAGAGGAGATATTAGGAAAAATTTCTTCACTGAAAGAGTGGTCAGTCACTGGAACAGGCTGCCCAGAGAGGGGGGGGAGGCAGGTGGTGGAGTCACCATCCCTGGAGGTCTTCCAAAGACATGTAGATGTGGCACTTCAGGACATGGTTTAGTAGACATGATGGTGTTGGGTCAACAGTTGGACTTCCTAGAGGTCTTTTCCAACCTTAAAGATTCTATGATTCTATGAAATTGGTACAAATGCCTTTGCTTCGCCCAGTACATTTGATCAGTCATTATTTATCTGGGGAGCCACTGCAAACTTTCCTCTCTTTTCCTTAGTTTAATGACGTTTTTAATAAGAGTAACATTGCATATTGATATTTGTCACAGTAACAGGTAAATGAAGAAGTTATCGGGCTCATAGGTATGCGTATTTACTCCTGCCATAGCAAAGTTGCAATGTTTACATCTTTAATGGTATGTTTCTGTACCATCAAACTCTCATTTAAATAAGACCTTGTACTGCAGCACTCTGAGAGAGCTGCATAACATAAATCTGTTTGCTTAGATTTGGCAGATTTATGATACTGGATCATTTCTAGTTTGTTCTTTTTTCTTTGGTTCACTGATTACAGGATTACCTTACCTATTTGTGCTTCAGCTCATCATGTCGTGTACAGCAGAACCAATTCCTCTTATTCCTCTCATCCTGTTCACCCCAACAGGCATTCGGAGGCTGGAGGTTTCCCACATCTGGCTCTCCATCCCTTTCACCTGCATTTACATTGCATCACTTGCGGGGAACTGCACAATCCTCTTTGCCATCGGGACCGATCCCAGCCCCCACGAGCCCATGTACCATTGTCCATGGTGGCCATCACCCATTTGGTTTCGTCTCTCTCTACAATGCCAACTGTGATGAGTGTTTTCTGGGTCAACTACAGGGAAAACAGTTTCAGAGAATGTTTTGCTCTGCTTTACTTTGTTCTTTCTCCTTCATGGAGTCCTCAATGCTTCTGGCTGTGGCCTTCTTTGATCATTATGCAACCATCTGCTACCTGCTGAGATACTCCTCCATCCTCAGCAGTGCCAGGATAGGCAGGATTGGGCTGGCTGCTCTGCGCAGATACCTCTCAGGAGCGCTGCCATCGCCTGCTGCCTCATCAATCAGATGTGCAGACATTGCATTCAGTAACTGGTATGACTTTGCTGTAGCCATTTTTTGTCTGACATTCAACATCATCCTCATCTTCGTGTCATATATAGTGATTGCTAGGGCCATTCTGAGCATCACATCCCAGAGGGAGCTTCTCAAGGCTTTGAACAACTGCCTGTCCTGTATCATGGCAGTCCTGATCCTGTACATCCCCATGGGTGGCTTGTCCATGGTTCACCGGTATGGCTAGGATCCTTCCCCTCTTGTTCACATCTTCAGGTCCAATGTCTACTTGCCAGTCCTTCCCATGCTGAACCCTGTCCTCTACAGTATAAAAACTAAACAGATCCACAGGGATGTGTCCTCAGGGTCCTCATGCCAAGGAGGAGCTCCTCTGGTGGGTCATGAGAGATGTCCCTGGCAGAGATCGTTGCTCTGGGAAACACCCACCTAACATAATGATCCAGATTCCTCGTTTGAAAAGTGCATTTGCTTTGCATCATGTGGGGATCTACTCAGTGAAGGTATTAACAGTTATCATTGATATCCATACGTTAAAATCAACTCATCGGAATTCCCAGTGTGTGGAGTGGGTCACAGCTGCCACTCGGGTCTGTGCCCCTGAGAGGCAGCCAGGAGTTTTCTCAGGTCCACAGATTTTAGCTGACTGTTAGAGCATTTTAGCACCCACAGTTTCCTGTGGTTATCCCTGTCCTCTGACTCCTTCATATGTTTTGCACCCTGAGTACCCGAATAATGCTCTGTTCCATCTAAAGGCTGCACAATCAGTCACAAGCCAATTTCAGTGACAGTACAATCGTCATGGATGATTATGTGATATTTGTCTTGCTCTTTTGCTGCAGATGAAGTTTCATCTGTTCCAGATGATTTTGATAAGAGGAGCAACATGAAAATGGAAATTTAAATAATCTCAACCCCCTCTGTTTTCCAGCTGATTCTGTTCATGAAATCCATAATTTGCAATAGAGCCTCTTGTTTGCCTGTGACACATACAGCTCCTGCAGCCTCTCATGATGACCCATGATGTTTATTATTCTTTTTCTCCCCTCAGTTCTTTCTCTTCTCCTGTCCTTAGATTTGAAGGTCTTGATAGCAGGGATTGTCTTTTCATTCTACACCTCTAATACCATATTAAAGTATCTGATCTGTGCTTCAATGTATAGCAAGGGTACAGATACTAAATGCTACTGCTACCAGTTGCTTCTCTTCCTGGGCTATGAGACTGAGATGCTAAATAACAACAGAAATGCTAAATAACAACAACAACAACAATTACACTTGCACTTGCAAAAATTCAGATAAATATATATCAGTGCTGGGTTTGTGGGCCACTTCAATGGTATGTCTACATCTTGATTTGTACGGATCAGCCATGTGTTATCCAAAGAATGAATGTTACACAATGAATTAATGTCTGTGGTTCAGAGACAGCTCCGTCACTTGGGAAAATCCAGGTCTTAATTCTTTAGCCTGCTGAGAGGGCACCTTTTTAAGTGACATGTCCCGAATTAACAGCATATACTTAGGGTAAGAAAGAGTTCTTCTTGGGCGTGGGCTGGTAAGTAGGAATCTCTTTGGAGAGATTAGTGATGGGAAAAACAGGGAGCAAAAAGCTGAGGTGGTTGAGAAAGGATGTGAAGACAACTTTGAGAGTGTTGTGGAGAACATTGAGGATGGTCATTAAGGCATCTCAGTGGAAGACTGTGGTGGTCTAGGACGGAGAGATAGACAAAGAATGGGGCAGCAGAAGGGTGGTTGTTCAAAGGACATTTTGTGTTACTGTTCATTTTCCAGCAGGGACCCAAGCACCTATCCCATTGATAAGGGTATTTCTGGCAAAATACTGCATGCCAAAACAACATTTACCCATGGAACTTTGCTTACCTAGATAGAAATAAGAAGGAAGGGTGTAGTAGTTTTGTCTGGGATAGAATTAATTTTCTTCATATCTAGTGTGAAGAAGCACTTAGCTTCATGGCTAGTGTGGGGCTCTGCTTTGGGTCTGCGCTGCAAGCAGTGCTGATTACAGAGGGATGTTTTGGCTATTGCTGAGCAGCGCTTGCACAGCCTCAAGGTCCCTTCCGCTCCTCACCCCACCCCACCAGTGAGGAGGCTGGGGGTGCACGAGGAGTTGGGAGGGGACACAGCCAGGACAGCTGACCCCAACTGACCGAAGGGATATTCCATACCATATGGCATGCTCAGCAATAAAAGATGAGGGAAGAAGGAGGATGGGTTTAATTTACCCATAAGGTTGTCTTTATCTCAACTTATGAGTTTTTGCGATTTCACCCTCCCAATTCTGTCCCCCATCCCATGGGGAGGGAGGGAGTGAGCAAGCGGCTGCATGGGGCTGAGCTGCCTGACGGCGTTAAACCACGACAAAGGGCTTGTAGAAATATTGAATTGCAGAGTAAAGGAGACAGCTATATTTATCATCATACGTGTTTCATAGCTGCAGCAGACACGCGGTGTAGCTTGTGTGCAGACAGCTGCAACACACTATCGATATCTCTAAAATTCAGTCAATGCAGTCAGGAAACTTTTCCTATCAATAATGCATCCACTTTGAGCTTCAAAAGAGTGATTTCTCCAAGTTCAGGAAAACTGTGTGAGTGGAGGGGCTGGGAGGGTTCCCAGGGCAGGTGTTTTTCAGCAACTTCCCCTCTTTCTGTTCCTTTTCCTCTGTATTAGATACGCTTTTTCTTCCTGATGTGCAGGAGTGCCCTTTTAAAGCTTTTAAAGACAGCTGAGGCGATGGGTCTGATGTCATCTGTTACCTCAGCTCTGACATTTCCCCCCAAAGACTGCTCCCCACACAAACTATTTTGTGGCACAGAGATCTTTTAGGAAGACTCTGGATGAAATGCCTTCAGGGACAGAGTTCACCACCATCTGTGGTCTCTTGTTCCAGCAGTAACCCATAGTCACGGTGAAAAACCACACCTTGTTTTACCTTGAAATGTAAATCCTAAAGCCATTTTGGATTTGCCAATAGGTAACATTAAAATGTCATCTTACATGCAAATGGACGCCAGCCCTTAGGTGTAAAAAATTAGCAGACTTGCTCCGTTTAACGCACAAAGGCTCGAAGCACAAGGGAAACCTGCGTGTTGGATGAGAGGGGCTTGCTCTAGTTCTCCATTCTGCCCATCCCACGGTGATGGTGGTGCAGGGCTGCGTAACGCACTTTCTGTATCACCCCTGCATCTTGCAGCTCATTCTGGAGAGAATTTCAGATTTAAGGGCACCTTGATTTTCTTGTGTTCTCTGGTACAGACCAGGGACAGAAACCATCATCCTTGGGGGGACCAAGAGCGTGGAGGAGAAGGCGAGTGCACGGCTGCTGTGTGGTGCCATGAGCGCTAGCTCACATTCGAGAAGGAGAAATACCTGATCGCTATTCTTTGTTCACTTATTAAAACCACGCTGAAACGGCAGTACAACATTTTGAATAATACATGGATTTTTTTCATTATGCTTTATTGAAAAATTGTTCACTCAAGTAAAATCACGAGGGGAAAAGCATCACTGCCTGCTGGAAATGCTTTCACCATCATGTGTCCTGATTAGAACCCCCAGGTATTATACTTCAGCCATACTGCCTTTTTCCACCAATACTTTTTTTTTAATAGTTCTAACTCATTATGTTAGACATTTTTAGCCATTTTAGAAAACATATGCCCCAAGGAAAGCCTGTATACTGAGTAATAGTGTTTTTCAGTCCAGCATTTTTAAGGAAAATGAACTCCCTGCATATCAGGGTGGAATTGAAATCAAGATCTTAAACCTCATCTCCTCCAAGTCTGTTTACACTTTTGCTGAGGTTTCCCATCCTCTTTGACAAGAAGGCCACACATCCCAAGGTAGGAGGAATCTGGGAAACAAAAGACAACATCCCTTCCCTCCCTAACAGTCCTTAACTGAAATGAATGTGAAAGACATCTGACTCCTTCCCGGGCATCAGTCAAGAGGCTTCATCCTTGATGCCGACCAAGGCGTCCTGTACCAGCAAGTGCCAAGCCAACTGCTGGTCATCAGTCCCTGAGAACGATGCTGGGGCCATCAGGAAACTGCGGGCAGGAGGGCTGGTGGCTGTACCCGTCAGGCTGCAGAAACTCCGAGGGCAGAGCTTGCAGAGGTAGTGTTTGTTGTAGCTATAAAAATAGCATTATAAATACATAGCTACTGTAAGTATAGTATGTAGCTGCAAATATGTCAGACAAATATAGTTTGTGGTGAGAGGTGCTGCCTTTTATTAGATTAACTTACAGTCAGAAAAACTATAAAAATCTTTCAAACTCGCAAGTTGCTCTTCCAGTCTGAAAGGTAGCAATCTTCACAGCTAAATATAGCTTAAGAAGAACGACTCTGAGATTTATGGAACATATCTCACACTTCTGCTTAACGCCCATTTTTAGCATTCAGTGGAATCAGGAGTTTGTATTTTTATGGTGAATTGCTGGTTGCCTTGAAATCCAGCTCTGGCATAAGTTGAGGCTTCCTATGTTTTTCCATGTTTGTTCAGGACAGCTGCCTTTGGGGCAGACGTGTGCCCACCACCGCTCCCAGGGAGCTCTGGGCAGCAGCTGGGCTCTCCATCCTCCAGAGCCTGGTGTACACATGTGAGATGCTCCAGAGGACACAGCTGCCCTGTGGTCCCCAGCCACGTCCCAGGAGCCGGCCGAGGAG